CTCTGATCTTCTCACCCATCTCCCAGACGACAAACTTCAGGAGGCCAGAGTCATCCAAAAAGAGGGCATGGTGTTGGCAAAACAGCAGCTCAACACGACCAAACATGTCCTCGAGGCATCTTCGCGAACGATGGCTTCGGCAATAGTTCTCTGAAGACATTCCTGGCTCCGCAACACTAACCTCCTGTTAGACACCAGGTCTTACGTGGAATACCTTCCCTTCGATGGCCAGGGTCTCTTTAATGCCACTACTGATTCTACTCTGCAGGAGTTAGATAAGAGTATAAAGGCATCTCGAGCTCTAGGAGTATCGTCCTCTGCAAGACCACAACACCGTCCTCGCACCTGGTCAAGATCCTGGCAGAGACGTACCCCAACTCATCAATCTCCAGAAACACGGTGGAGACCGAGAGCGTCCTCCGGAGGCCAAAAACCTGCCTACCAGAAACCAAAATTTGTCCCTTTGAATATCCTCCAGGGAGCGCCCTTCCACCCTCCGTCACCCGAGGTCACCATTACGACGGATGCTTCCGTGACAGGATGGGGTGCACACTCCATGGGCCTCTTGCTTGGAGACAAATGGGACGCACAGATGAGGAAGCGTCACATAAACTTCCTAGAACTGCTGGCTATATTTATTTATTTATTTATCCTTGGTCTATGGGACTCCTTTACCTGTTCCCCTTCTTACCTCAGCTTCTGAGAGTGGTCCACAAGATTCTCAAAGACAACGCGGTCTGTATCTTGATAACACCATGGTGGCCAAGACAACCTTGGTTTTCAGCAGTCCTCGAGCTATCACAGGGAACTTACCATCAATTCCCTCCAGCTCCGGACCTCCTCCTCCTCTCCGACTCCCCCGTCCTACATCACAACATACCACAGCTGAAATTGACAGCATGGAGGATAATAACATCGGCTTCTCCACCCGTGTAAGGAATGTACTGTTGAATTCCAGGAAATCCACTACGCAGAGGTCCTACGAATATAAATGGCATAGGTTCTGTTCTTCGCTTGGAGATGATGCCCCTCGAGCCACCTCTGTGGGTCTCGAACGAGTCTTCCAATTCCTCCTCACCCTAGCTGACTCTGGACTTTCCCATTCATCGTTATGAGTTTATTTGGCCGCTCTTTCGGCCTACCATGTTCCAGTCGACGGATGCACTTTGTTTTCTCATCCGATTTCTAAACGGTTTTTAAAAGGTTTGTTACACCTCTACCCTCCTGTCAAGGCTCCTTGGGACCTTCCCCTTGTTCTCCGCCAGCTTACACGGAAGCCATTTGAGCCGCTTGCAACATGCAATCTCAAACTCCTGGCATGGAAGACAGCCTTTCTAATTGCCATTACCTTGGCTAGGCGAGTGGGAGAACTGTTGGCCTTCCGCCACAATACCCCTTTCCTATCATTCCTGCCAGACTGAGTCAGCCTCGTCCCGGACGTCTCCTTCCTCTCAAAGGTGGTGTCAGAGTTCCACCTGCAGGCGGAGGTCTTCCTCACTAACTTCTTCCCAAATCCAACATCAGCGGAAGAAAAGTTGATCCACACTCTAGACGTGAAATGTACTCTCCTGTTTTACGTCAACAGAACACTCCCAACTAGACAAGACTCACAACTATTTGTCTTGTACGCTCCGGCACGGCTGGGTACTCGCATCACGGCACGTCGTCTGTCGAGATGTAGGTCTGATCCATCTATGCTACCAGATCGCCAAACAGCCATTGCCTGGCCCGATCAGGGCTCATTCTACCAGGGCTGTCGCGACTTCCACTGCTTTCGTTCACGGAGTACCACTGCTGGACATTTGCAAAGCTGCTACCTGGTCTATGCCTAACACCTTCATCAGGCACTACACCTTAGATGTCTGAAAGAACTCTAATACCAACATGGGACGTCGCATTATCTTTGGCTACACAGTCATAGCCCTGCCAGCACCCTCCTCCAGGTAGTCTACTGCTCACTAATCTCCCATTGGTGTGAAGCACAGAGACCACGTCGAAGATAAACAGGTTGCTTACCAGTAACTGGTGATCTTCGAGTGGTCATCTGTGCATTCACACCACCTGCCCTCCTTCTCCTCTGCTGTCAGCTTCTACATTTTTGAATAGGGGTAGATTTGCAGCGGTTTGTAGGAACTGGCGGGATGTCTGCGCCCACCCCTCTGGGCATGCGCGGTGGGGTTCCTGCGCATGCCCGAGGGACTGGGCGCGAAAATCCGTTAAAAGAGCTTGCTACAGCACCGATCGATCCAGCGCGTGCACACTAGATCCCATTAGTGTGAATGCACAGATGACCACTCGAAGATCACCAGTTACTGGTAAGCAACCTGTTTTTACCTACAGTATATAGAAATTGCAGTTACCAAACTGTAGATAGTTTGATGTGGTTTTTTAAAAAGCATTTTGAAGACCTTTTTGAAGGCACAATGTTTTTTAAAACTTGTATTGAAAAGGACTTTGTTCAGTTTAAAAGAGAAAATCTTTTATAAGAGAGTTTTCTTTTTTACTCTCCCCAAAATTTGTTTTTCTACTGAAAAAATTGACAGTCCTCAGAAAAAAAGTGTTGCTTGCCAATTTTTCTAGGGTTTCTAAAATTATTTTTAGGACTTTGTTGCCCTGCTGTGAAGATGTGATCACAGATCTTCCAGCATCTCATTTTGTTTGCTTGTTTTATTTACTTCATTTATATCCTTCCTTTCTAACTGGTTAACAAACAAATTTCATATCTAGCTTTAGATTTTGGCTTGAGGAACCAAAATTAACCTTAGTGTGGTGGCACAGGTTCAGACCACGGATAACTATGGTTAGTTTAATTAAACTGTGGTTTTAAAATTGCATCCACACCGTCACTAGTAGGTTTTCATTAAATCCTGGGTCTTCCACAGGTGCTTTTGGCACACTGCCATACAGTGTATAATCCAGTAGGTAGGACTCTGAAGAGAGGTAGCTTAAAAAACATGAAAATAAAACCTATTCTGTTGAGAGACATTTTCAGTAACAGGCTTACCCTACTCAAATAGAACAGGATCATAAAAAGGGATGATAAAATTCCAAAGAATCATTCAATACATTTAAATTTAATCATTTACATTTAGTGACCCTGAGGTAAGGAAATATTTATGAGATGATGATGATACTTTTCACCTCTTCCTCAGGTCACACATACTGCCTCTTTGTGAGCTCATGCTGCTGAAAGAATAGGAGGAGGAGGGTTTTTCCCCCCTAATAAGAACTGGTGTAGAGGATGATGGCAAGTCTCCACCAGTATGTGAAATTCAATGGTATGGGGGCCAGAAGCATATTTCGCAGCACAACCTGTCCCCTTGTAGAATGTCTACAACTTCATCTAAATTAGGTAGACTAGAAGAGGTGGATGAAACTTCTCCTTGGACCCAATCTGCTCTGCAGGTTTACCTGTGTAGTCAGTGAAGTGTCAAAATGTGGTTATGTCAATGACTTTCTAGAAAAGGTTTTTAAAAAATAATTAGCCAATTGACCTCCGAAGTGCTCGCTTCAACTTGCCTGAATGGTAAATGAAAGAGGAAAGTTTCAGCCTTTCTTCCCGGGGGGGGGGGGGGGGGGATGCAAAGTGGCTTACGTCATTCCCTCTCCCCCCGTTTTATTCTAATAATTCTGTGAGGTAGATTGGCCCAAGCTGCCATGGTAGAATGGGGGCTGGAAATGAGTCTCCAGATTCTAGTCTGACAGTATCTGCTACAGTTTGGCCCTTTTTGAACCCAGTGTTTGAAGGGTATTGCATGTGAGTCTGGAGAACTGGACTAGAGTCTCATATCCTGAATTCTTGCACATAGTGCATACTGTTCATACTCAGAAGTATGATGCCCTGAAGTTTAAGTAGCTTTCATGATCTTTGCGTACTGTGTGTAAAAGGTAAAGGTTCCCTTGCTCGAAAGCCAGTCGAATCCGACTCTAGGGTTGCGGTGCTCATCTCCGTTTCAAAGCCGAAGAGCCAGCGCTGTCCGAAGACGTTTCTGTGGTCATGTGGCCGGCATGACTAAACACCAAGGCGCACGGAACGCTGTTACCTTCCCACCGAAGTGGTCCCTATTTATCTACTTGCAATTTCTTGCTTTCAAACTGCTAGGTTGGCAGGAGCTGGAACTAGAGACAGGAGCTCACCCTGTCTTGCGGCACCCGGGTCTTGAACCGCTGAACTACTGACCTTCCACAGCCTGCAGTTCAGCGTCTTAACCACTTGAGCCACCGCAGCTGTGTAGGCTTCTGTAAAATTAAGGACAGCAATGAGCAAAATGCAGCCAGGAAGTCAAACTCATTGAGGTTGTTGTAGTTCAAGAAAAATAAATGTTTGTTCTAGTTTTGAGTTCAGGTTTAGTTTGACACAAACCCAAATTGAAAGCGAGATGGAGCTTTTTACATTTTTCCTCAGTGGGAACAAACCATGAAGCGTTATTTGAAGATTCAGCTTAAATCAGTTTTAATCCCCTGTGTGCAGCATGGCATATTAGAAATATTTAGCTGCTTCCATATATTTACTGTTATAAGCAAGTCCTGTGACAAAACAGATGGAACAGAAGAATCTTCCCAACCATTTTATCATTTTTAATGCTGCCTGAAAATAATTCACACAAGACTTTCGAAAATAGAACAAATAAATACTGGTGTGCATGCCAACTCCTATTCCAATAGTTCAGAGTGGAAGAAGTCTTTCTAGACTCACATTAAGGGAAGCTAATAATTAAGAAAGGGAAGCTAATTTCTTAAGCCTAATAGTTGTTTTTTTTTTGGTAAACAAAATTTTTATTTTCATTCTTTGAGAAATCATACAGTCCATAATTTTCGTTACATCTTATTCACCCTATTCCCAATACCCCCCCCTCGACTTCCCGCAATGCTTTCCCCCTTTTTTCACATTTTTCAGTATAACAGTAAATGTTTTCATTTTTCTTAACATTAAGATCTTTAGATAACATTCATTTGATTTAATATCTTAAGCCTAATAGTTTGACCTTTATTTAAAACAGGATTTTTCCAATTAAAGATGTACCTATGGAGCCTGAAGCACTCGCTGCTTGGTTATATCAACGGTTCATTGAAAAGGAGGATCTCTTGTCACACTTTTACAAAACAGGTGAAACTTTCATTTTTTTAATGTTCAGTGCTTTGGAAGCGTTTTCCCATTTAATGTTTCAGTTATTTATAGTTCCTTATGCAGGGTTAAGCCATCTGTAATAGATTCATGTGTCATTACTCCAAATGGGTACCCACGTTAGTCTGTTGCAGTAAAAACAAGCAGGAGTCTTGTGTCACCTCAAAAACGACCTAAACTTTATTTAAGCATAAATTTTCATGAAACAGACGCCACTTCTTCAGGTGCCTGGTGTGTGTAATCATTATGCAGGCACCCTTATGACCAAAGTTACAAACGGGGAGGGAGAAGGGAGAGGGAAATCTGTTGTAAATCATGTTGTAATATATTCAAGTATGAGTCCCTATCAAAGGGATAGGAACACACGTACTGTTATTCCTCATAAGAGATGCGGAGAGTTCTATTAAGTCCTATCCTTTCATGGGGTACAGAGTGAGATCCAGCAGCAACAAAAACATTTGTTCCGGGTGAGTGAGGACAAACTGGCCGAACAAGACAAATATGCGCTCAAAAATAGTCAGTGAAAGTTCAGGGAGAAAAATGTCCTCAGAATTCAAATCTCATCTAGAACAGTACAGAGACCAACGCTGTGGCTCAGCAGAACTAGCCAATACCTGTGAGAGGACTAGGGAGTCACAAGTCTAGCCATGATATTCAATACTCAGGTCTTTCTCTTCTAAATCTCCCCCTCCTCCCCTTTGTAACTTTGGTGATGAAGGTGTCTACAGATGCATGGGACGTATAAACATTTTGCAAAGCTACAGCATGCCTCTGCCGGGAGAAGAAAACAGCCCTTTAAAGAGGCAAAGCGGGTGTGATTTAGCTCTGCCGCTTTGGAGGCAGCGCTTAGCTCTCCTCTCCTCCCCATAGTGGCAGCAGGTAAAGTGTTCATATGGGTGCTCTGACTGCAGCTGACCCACACTTACCCTTTTGAACTGGATCAAAGAACGTTTTCCTTTAAAGGTGACAACCTCAGGAAGCCCACAAGTTCTACTCAGAATGAAATGTTGTCATGTTCACACTCCCATAAAAATCAAGTGTTTCCTGAGTTCCATGCAAGGGGGGGGGGGGAGCCCATGTGGAAGCAGCCTGTTAGTCTATCACTAAACAGCACCATAATAAGCTTGTCTCAGAGGCTAGTTTCAGACAGTGTGGGTCAAAATCTGGAACAGATAAATAGCAGGAGTGCCTTTTCCCATATTAACTGGGGGTCTGGTGACATTTAAACAAGTCACCTTTATCATCAGTCACAAACTGAAAATAATCTATGATTTATGGTAAAGCAGAGGAAAATTTCTCAGCAGTGCATGTGACTTCTGCCTAACTCCTGGCTATTGTTGTTTCTAAGAAACTGTTTTTAATAGTTTACAAATCACACTGTGTGGGCCTAACAGATTTAGCCCTTATTCTGTTAAAAGGTAGAATGATTAGCTTTTCTACAGAGAAATCTGATGTCATCTGCTACAGACAGTTCCTGTACAGATAATTAGCTTTACCTAATTACCACATATACCACTTATAAGGTATTTTATGTAAGTGTGCCAACCACTCGTGCAGTCATATGCCTATAATGTGCATGTGTATGATTTAATTTGGCATTTGCCCACGTAAGGGATTATGCGTCCCTCTTAATTAAGCTAACTCTTGACAGCTGAATGTAAGGTGAGACATATTTTATTGTGCATTTGGTTCTCATGAGTGTCTCTTTTCCAGTAGAGACAGAAGTGCCTTCTAGGTCCTTTGGAATTGCCCTCCTTTTGGAGGAGGAGGCAGGGCCAGCTTGCAAACGTAGTCTCCTTCACTGGCAAAGGGTTCTTTCTCCCAGACTAGCTCTGCTTCATGTCAGGGGGACCAGAGTTTAGGTTGCTACTCTTTAAATGTTGCCATTAACTAGCTTGAAGCTTAGGGAAGCTCTTTTAAAAATGGCAATTAGAGATAATGATGTCATCACAGAAGGTGGTCTAGTGGGCACACTGCCCCACAGAACCTCTTCAGATCTTGTTCCTCTTCGAGCCAAGGGCCAAGTTGTAAGTTGAAGCCCGAGCAGGCCTGGTGATTGGATGAGAGCTGCAGTACTGAACCCCACCAGGATAATCACCATGACAGATGCATGTATCCTGGCTGTGGGGGCACACATACAGGAACAAGTGGCTCATGGCATATGGTTATGTAGATTTTTGAAAAGACTAGCCTTTCTAAAACCCTTCACAGTATACGGCTTTCCCAGGTAGAACCTAAACTGTTTTTGATACCACTACTTGATCAGCATTTCATTAACATAAAGATATAGAAAGACTTGCGTAAGTCGCTATAGTTAAGCATAACCAAGTTTTTTTTACTTAACTAGAGTTTTTTTAAATAAATTTCAGATTTGGGGAAAGTAGGAAATTGAACAAACTTTTATTTTAGTCAGTTTTGGTGTAAAAAATGGGTTAAGGCATGAGTGCAGAATTCATTCTAGGGAGAGAAAGGATTGTGGGATTAATCCCATGATCAGCTCTGGATCTTGTAACCACCATTTGAAAAAAGCAAATGTCTGTGCCACCACAAATCCTTATTACAGCCATGATAAGTGTATACTCTGAAAAGTAAGCTTGAATGTGCAACTGACAAGTTTTACTACTTTTCTTTCAGGAGCATTCCCTCCACTGCGGGGACAGACAAAAGCTGTTTCCCAAGAAATGAACCTTAGCAATCTGTGGCTAGTTCTCATACAGTCCTTTGCATTTTTGTCAGGTGGTATGTGGTACTGCATTCTTCAGTATTTTTATCAATGCCTGTTTTAAAAGGGACCTGAGGACACAATGAGGAACCAGGTACTTTTACAGAGCGCATCATGTTATGTGTGCAAATGTGAATGTACTAGGAAGGAACATACTGGATGGACTTTCTCCCCTTCTTTGATGGATTTTAAACTTCACTAGAAGTGAGAATCAGTAACATAGCAACCTAATGATGTATTTTAAGAACTGTCCATATTTTTAAATGGTGTGTGTCCCCCGTGTCCCCCCCCCATGCACACCCATCAGCAAATTCGGCATTTGAACAGGAGACACAGTTATACAACCACCATGGGTGAACATCTGCAGCAAGAATGCTTTCACCACAGGTAGTATCCAGCATTGTAGTTAAAACTTGGAGTCTTCAGCAACTTTCTCTTCTGTAGTCTGTACTGCAAGTCTTGTGATAGAGATCCCTCATCTGCACAAACTCAAATTGTACTGTGATTAATCATTCTGGATCAGTTTATCCTATTCTGCAAACCTGGTTATGGTACTGTGACTGCCCCATGTTACCCGTTAAGTAAGAGCGCTTTTTTTTTTTTTTTTTTTTTGGGAAAACAATATCTATGTGAGATCTTGTATTAAACATAGAAAAGGAAAACTATTCTGCACAAAGGCATTGCAGTGTCAGGAAGTATTGAAAAAAATGTGCATACCTCATAGAGCCATTTATTTCTGCCCTCTTTTTTCTGACTTGAAATCTCTTGCAAGTATCCCTGCTGTAAGGGTACTTCAAAAATGGCACATCAGTTTCCCATTTTGGTTTTAGAATGCATTTCATAAATTGATCATCATTTTTGCAAAATGCACTTTTGAAAATGCAATTCAGTGAAGGAAATGCACATAGCTTGACAAAAAATTAGTTGTTCCTAAGAGGTTGGATTCTTGAGGGCTGTTAAGAAGTTATGAAAGGTCTGTGAGTTTTCAATGCTTAAGTGTACGAGTTGCCACACTCTAGCCAAAGTGGTTTTTTAAACCTTCCAGAGGCCTTCATTTCCATTTGACACAATAGCACTAGAAACATCTGTGAGAAGGTTTACATGTATAAATGCCAAGCACCTCAGTACTTTGTTAATAGGAAAAAGAAAAGGAAGTTAACATAGTTCCAAAACAGAATGATAGTCACTGGAATAAAATAATAGGAAAGTATTTTGATATCCAGAGCTATGGTAAAAACTACCTTTGAAGGGCATTACTGAGTCTGCCACTTTGTTGAAAAATGTCACTGTTATAGAAAGGAAATTTAGCTAAAGAGGCAGACATATCATTAAAACAGGGTTTCAGTTGATAATGTTACCGTTCATAATGGTCTTGGAGAAAAGCCTTCTCTATGTGTTATCTATCAGTCTTGGAATGTTTGGCATTATGTCTATGTGACTACATAAAGAGATATATAAAAGAAACCATTCCTAGAAAACAGTTACTAATTTACACGTACAGACCTGTAGAGTGAACTTTAATGACAGAATGTTGTCTTTTATGGACTGTATTATTTCTAAGAGCAAAGCAAAGCCAACAGTAGTTGTCTGTGCTGAATTTGCAGTATATATTCTCCTGGGTTTCCCCCCACAAATCACATGAGAACCAGTTTTGGTGAGTAGTATATAAAATAAAAATATAAAACCACAGCATCATATTTTTCTCTTGTTTGAAGAGGGGAGGAGGGGCAATCAAAAGATGTAAACTTCCCCTAGTTATGTGTGTCAAATATATCAGTTAAATATGCCAAACAGTGATCTTTACTCATGAAATTCATTACAGCATGGATTATAGCAATGGTGCGTTCTAGAAGATGCAGTGATATATATACAGCAGTGATTAGTATGATACCATTATGGATGAAAGTCAGAGAGTGGCATTAATGCCTATCGTTTAACCTTGGACATAAAATACATGTTTTTAAATGAAGTTTTTTTGTCACATGGACAGCTTAGTATCAGCATAAGAATAAAATCCATTTTGAGCAAGATCTTTCCTGCAAAAGGAAGCTATTTGGAGGGGTCAAGGTTTTTTCCCATTTCATTATCTTTGCCTTGTTGATCCATATAGCTAAAGCATTTCAATGTGCCACATTGCAGGAAATTGTTGAGGAGTTCATTCCCCGTCTCTTGATCTATATAGCTATAAATCAGAGTTCCACTCTGGGAGACAAGCATCACGGACCAGGATGCAAAGCATCAGCTGTTGTAACTGTGTCCTATTTTGGAAAGGACAAGATTCTAAAAGGAAGGTGTTTCTAAAAGTGAATAGTAAATGTCTACATATGCATTGTACTGGTTTCTGAACGAACACCAGTCACCTGCAAGAATACAGGTTCTTCCCCCTGCCCCCCAGCATATTTTTAACAGGTATGCTTAACAGGCCTAGTACAATACTATAGATACTGAGTTGCTGGCTAATGAAACAAAAGTGGATGGTCATATCAGCTCAGCATTACCAGACATTCTACCTAAATTTGCTCCTTTCCACATGACAGAATGTCACTGTTTAAGGCACTGATGGCATTTGAATAGGTAATATTTCCCTGATCCCAATTGCATTTGTGTGAAGGTGTGTCCTATTCCTTTTGTGAAACTCTCTACCAAGTAGCATGTTTGGATATAAGCAGCAGTAAATTGATTATATTTTTGTACTGTCTATACTGGAAAATGTGAAGAACTTTAGGTCATAATGTCTGCTTATGGATATCAGGATATTGCTATTAAGAATTCTGAAATAAAATGCACTATTTCATCACGAACTTGGACTACTATCATCAGACTGCCTACTTAGTCCACAGTAGCCC